CGGGAAAGGAGACCCTGGAGACCTCCCAAGAGCTCCCGGAGGGAAAGAAGACCCTGGAGACCTCCCGGGAGCTCCATGCAGGAAATGAAACCCCAGAGACCTCCCAGGAGTGGATCCAGGGCCATCAGAGGCTCCAGGACCTGGAGTTCCCAGTGGGAAAGGAGACCCTGGAGACCTCCCCGGAGCTCCTGGTAGGAAAGGAGATCGTGGAGACCTCCTGGGAGCTCCTAGTGGGAAAGGAGACCTGGGAGACCTCCCAGGAGTGGATCCAGGGCCATCAGAGGCTCCGGGAGCCAGAGCCAGAGCTCCCAGTGGGAAAGGAGACCCTGGAGACCTCCCGGGAGCTCCTGGAGGGAAAGAAGACCCTGGAGATGTCCCGGGAGCTCCCAGTGGGAAAGGAGACCCTGGAGACCTCCCAGGAGCTGCAGGAAGTGGTAGAGCTCCAGGGAAGGATGGAGGTGATGGGAACATGGGATGGGGAGGGTTGGAAGGGACCTGGAAGAACATCCTGGGAAGGAGGTGATGGAAACATGGGATGGGGTGGGTTGGAAGGGATCTGGGAGAACATCCAGGGAAGGAGGGATTTGGGAGGTTTCCCTTGTTTCCCACCAGTTAATTCCGAGATCAAACACGGTCACGGCGTGAGAAATGTCAAATTCAACACGTTCACACCAAATTCAACATATTTCCATCAAATTCAACACAATCACATCCAAATAAACACTTTCACACCAAATTCAACACAATCACATGAAATTCAACACTTTCACACCAAATTCAACACAATCACACCAAAATAAAACACATTCACATCAAAATAAACATATTTACACCAAATTCAACACAATCACATCAAAATAAAAATATTTACATCAAATTCAACACGTTCACACCAAAATAAACACATTCGCATCAAATTCAACACTTTCACACCAAAATAAACACATTCACATCAAAATAAATACTTTTGCATCAAAATAAGCACATTCTCATAAAAATAAACATATTTACATCAAATTCAACACAATCACATCAAATTCAACATATTCACAGCAAAGTAAATATATTTACATAAAATTCAACACTTTCACACCAAATTCAACATATTTACATCAAATTCGACACAAATCACACCAAATTCAGCACTTTCACACCAAATTCCCTGGGGGATGTTCCCACCCCTTTCGTATTCCCAGTGCAAATCCAGGTTCTTGGGGAGTTAATCCCAACCCACCTCAGGTCCTTGGGGAGTTAATCCCAACCCATCCCAAATCCTTGGGGAGTTAATCCCAACCCCTCCAAGGTCCTTGGGGAGTTAATCCCAACCCATCCCAGGTCCCTGAGGAGTTAATCCCAACTCCTCCCAGGCAGCCGGAGTTTGGCAATCCCAGATTCCCTGTGTTTTCTGAGCCGGGCTCTGCCGGGACCTGCCTGGGCCGGGCCTTGTTTTCCTTGGAGAAATCCTCCTGCCTCCTCCCGGGAGAGGAGCAGCCGCCCTTCCCCGGCTGCAGATCCCTCGGGAAGCTCCCAGGGAGCCAGGCCATGGAGCTGGGATGAGTTCCCAGCTCAGTTTAGGTGCAGGATTTGAGCCGGGCCTGACCCGGAGGCCGGCGGGGCCTCCCTGGCTCTTCCCGGCTCCCCCGGAGCCCCCCGGGATGAGGGGGGTCCTTCCTGGGGGTCCTGCCCTGGAGACGCTGCCCGGCCTTGTTAAGCAGGTCCGACTCCCTGGATCATGAGGGTGACATTCCCAGCCCAGCCAGGCCGGGCTCAAGGCCTTGGGAGGGCTCCTGAGAGCCTGGAGAGTGTCCTGTTTCCTAAAACCAGATCTATCCTCACTAAAACCAGACCCATCCTCACCCAAACCAGGCCTGTCCTCACTAAAACCAGACCTGTCCTTACTAAAACCAGACCTGTCCTTACTAAAACCAGATCTATCCTCACTAA